TTTTTTTTTTTTACTTTTAACTCCTTTCCCATAAAGTTTTGGTTTTTCGAGATACTTGCAAACAGGGATCTAATATAAGAAGCAAGTATCACTGGTTTCTGTTTTTGTTTGCAAGCATCTCTGGCTAAAATGATAATCATAGGATTACAGGAAAAAATATTTTATTTTTGCCTAACTTAAACAATGTTCTAAAACATGGATAACTTCAAAAATTGAAGAGCATTTTAACATCCTCTCCCAATGTTATGGACTTGACATAAGTGGATCTTGTCTTTAATCTCTGAGATAAGTTAATTGTTTAGCAGACCTTTTATCATAAAATAGTCTGTATTAGGCATTTCTCAAAAGATGACATATATTGACAATTCGATTTTCTTTCTCCTCCAGATACTTTTCTTTGGATTTGGATGGCTTTTCTTCATGCGCCAACTGTTTAAGGACTATGAAGTAAGAAGATATCATTTTGGTTATACTACTCTATGTATTTAGATTGTTTTAAAGTGGGCGAGTAAAATTCCTCCGTTCAAGAAAGGTCATGTTCACTTCCAAGATAGGGAGTTTTGGCCAAATGAGTACTATATAATTTTTAAATTGGAGAATATGATTTAAGTTTAGTTGATTTTTTTTTTTTTTTAAAGCAAGTCATATGTAGCCTAGGAGCAAGAACTGTCATGTCTTAGTAATATCAGTATACAGAACAATAGCAGATATTTTTTGGAAGAGAATTTAACTTACGTCTCATAAATGTTCCCATTAGTTTGGGTATCTGACCTTCAGTGTTAATGACCAATCTTACATCCTAAGTTAATACCAAAATGCTAAGGCTGATCTGGTTCTTAAGTCTTGAATTCATAGAAGCACCAGCTTAGACTGGACATTTCCTAATTAATCCTCATTTAGTAGTAAGCTCAATGGCTGTGGACTACTTTTAGATCATTTCTAGGATGTTCACCGTTAAACCTTCCCCAGGGAGTTTGGGGTTGTTGTCTGAAAGAGCCCAGGATTCTAGAGATTCTGCTTTGCTCAAGAAGGCCTCCCAGGGGAGGTTCCAAAACTGGTCCAAGGCCTGCAGAGTGTTGAAGAAACCCTTTTAGTATGAACCTACATATATGTGTACATCTGTCCCTTTTTTTGATCAGTGTGCATCATGAATTCCAAGTGCTACTCCTGACCCTGTCACTTCATCTTGTGCTTTAAATTCTCCATCCACAAGATGATGATAAAAGTGCGTCATGATTTAGAAATACTGCCTACTTCCATCTGTTTCTTTAGCTCCAAGAAAGTTGCTATTGCCCTGTTTCCAGTGATTTAAGAATTTCTTCTTTGTCAGACTTGTGACCAGAAGATTATCAATTCAATATTTCACACAAGGACATGACTTGTATTCTGTATTTGACTTTTAATAGGTACGTCAATATGTGGTACAGGTGATCTTCTCTGTGACTTTCGCATTTTCGTGCACCATGTTTGAGCTCATCATCTTTGAAATCTTAAAAGTATTGAATAGCAGGTGAGTGAGTACTAATTAGCTCTTCTCATGAAGAGACCTATAAGATTTCTTTATGGTAGAAGACTTACCTGAATCCCATAGCTGAAAAAATTCTACCATGCAGTTAGTTTAGTCTCAGTAACTATAAGAATCCTAGCAAATATGGGTCCCAGCCACCTGGTAGCTGGTTTGACACAGACCGTGAGAAATAGGGAAAAAGAAATCTGACCATTAGCTCTGAGCTCATTGAGAATGAGGCTATGAGAGAGAGCCTAGGTCCCAGGCTACACTCCTAGAGCTTTTATTGTCCTGAGGCTGCTCTTTGAATCCTGCTATTGGCCTTTCACATTGCTGTGCTAATGAAAAAAAATCTCTACCTTAAAAGATCAGAATTCCTCAGTTAGTCCTGTATGGGCTTCTCTGAAGTCTGAACTCCAGCTCTCACTACCTTTGTTGATTTCACAGGCCTGGTCAAGTCTGATTGAATTTAAAGTCTTCTTTAAAGCGTTTTTAAAAAGCAACTCCTATTCCTCTCCAAATAACAGACATGTTGTTTGTTATAGTCCAAAGTATTTCTTGTTAAACAGGAAGTTTGGGGTTTTTTAGGCCATTGTGTGTAGAGTACATCAGCTATTCTGTGTTGACCTGTGTAGTTTTTATCACTGCATGGAAAAATCTTTCAAGAATAAGGTGGCATTTGACTCTGTAGTCAGGAATCGGTGCTGAGCTAAGCTGTATAACTTGTTTCAGACTCCTGACACTTGAGACTTAGACTGTATTCGCAGATTCCTTTGAGAATCAGAGTTGATAATTAATGTCTCTTGATAGGTAAATTAAAAGCTTATCATATGATAAAACAAGAGTATGTTCTGCCTCTTCTATTAAACTAGTTCTTCAAACCTTTTTTGGATGAGCAAGATATAGATCCTGTGACTATCAAGAATAGACCAGTGTTCTTTAACTTCAAAATTACTAAATGTTATTATCACAAGCTGGAACTTTCACTGCTCTCTAACTAGAGGCCGGTAAGTTGTTCTATAATGGACCAGATAATATTTTAGGCTCCACAGCTTATGTGGTTTCCATTACAACTCCTCAGCTCTGCTGCTGTGGAATGAGAGCACCCATAGGCGATGAATAAACAAATTCATGGCTGTGTTCATGGCTGTGTAGTATGGCTGTGTGCCAATAAAATCTTACTTATAAAAGCAGGTGTCTGGCAGGCCATAGTTTGCTGACTACTGATCTAAGTGCCAAAAGAAAAGACTGGCTCAGATATTTTCTAAAACCAAAATTGTTTTTGGTAGATGATGTCCCCACTTTTAACTCATTTATAATTAATCCATACAGGAAGACCTTTAACTCAGTTACTTTGATGTATAGTTCTTAAATAGTTTATCTTAAAGAATATAGGAAGTTGCATTGCTAAAATCTGGTTGTTCTTAGGGTGCTTTTGAGGGGGTTGGGTTTGTGTAAACTAAGACATGTTCAGTTACCCCTATTTCTTTCATGCTAACATTTGGCCCTACTATGTCACAGAAATATGGGCCTTGATTATATATTATATTGGTGTGTTGACTGCGTTCAGAAGTTTTCAAAGGAAAATCTTGGCCCTAACCAAGAGTATTTTTTGACTCCCCTCTAAGCAGAAGTGGTATTGTCTCCTATTCAAATATATAATCTTGTTAGGATCCTCAATTTTTCCAAGAGAATGTCATTTTACTCTTGGCTCATATAACAGTTAAAACATGTGGTTCACTTTTAAATTTCTTTTTTTTTTTTCAACGTTTATTTATTTTTGGGACAGAGAGAGACAGAGCATGAACGGGGGAGGGGCAGAGAGAGAGGGAGACACAGAATTGGAAACAGGCTCCAGGCTCTGAGCCATCAGCCCAGAGCCCGACGCGGGGCTCAAACCCACGGACCGCGAGATCGTGACCTGGCTGAAGTCGGATGCTTAACCGACTGCGCCACCCAGGCGCCCCAACTTTTAATTGGCAATATGTGTCACCCTTGTCATTTCAAACTGTCTCCCGATGCTTTTAGAAGTTGAGCTGAAATACTAAGTACAATTGCCCAGAGAATGTGCAGCGTCTTTTGTTTCTCTAGATGCAGTAACAGTGGGTTAATCCAGAGCAGTAAAAAGCTGTCTGTATATATAGACTAAATGATATTGGCATTTTGTAGTGTAGCTTTTAATGAATAGCTCTTTATTTTATGATACCCGCCCCCTGTACTAAGGAGAAACGGTAAGGAACAGCCCAGTGAAACTCATTTTGACCTTTCTCTTGAAAGGGTGTCGTTGAAGACATTGTTAATTGCCCTCACATTTTCTTCTTTAGGAAATCTTTGGAGAAATTTCATTACAGTCTTGGTAATAATTTCAGTAATAGTTATGCTTCCTTGAAGCAATTGTTTTTTCCCGTAGCACTGTCACTTGTTTAACTGATCAAATTTTCTATTTGATGTCGACCATTAGAAAGCTTAAAGCTAAATTTATGATCCACTCATATAAGTTTCCAGAATCCTATGGTTTGCATTTTCAAAACTGTCATCAGGCCTAGCCTGCTTTTTTACCTATCTTTTCCCATGTTTTTCCTTTCTTTTCCTACTTACAGTTTATTTCATCATTCTGTATTTTATATATCCTCATAAACCACTTAACCACTAAACTTTTTGAAACAAGGCCCAAGTGTAAGTTCAAAAATCAATAAATACAAAAGACACTATCAAGAAAGTAAACAGACAACCCAAGAATGAGGAAAAAATTTTTATAAATCACTTGAAGGAGACTTCAATCTAGTATATATAAAGAACTGTTAATAGTTTAATAATAAAAAGACACATTGTTAAAGAACAAAGGATCTGAATAGGCATTTCTCCAAATAAGATACGGATGCCCAATAAGCACGTGAAAAGACACTCAACGTCATTAGCCATTTGAGAGGAAATGCCAGTCAAAACCACAATGAGCTACCACTTAACACCCATCAGGGTGGCTATAATCAAAAAGACAGTAACAAGTGTGGGCGAAGCTTGGAGAATTTGTGGAGAACCCTAGCATTCTTCCTGGGGAGAATGTAAAATGGTGCAGCCACTCTGGAAAATAGTGGCAGTCCTCAAAAAATTAAATAGTAATCATATGACCCAGCAATTCCACTCCTCAGTATAAATATAAAAAGAAATGAAACATGTCCACACAAAAGTTTGTACACAAATGATCATAGCATCACTGTTTATAATAATGGGGCGCCTGGGAGGCTCAATCAGTTAAACGACTGACTTTGGCTCAGGTCATGATCTCACCGTTTGTGGGTTTGAGCCCCGTGTCAGGCTCTGTGCTCACAGAGCTGTGCTGTGAGCACAGAGCCTAGAGCCTGCTTTGGATTCTGTGTCTCTCTCTCTCTCTCTGCCCCTCCCCCGCTTGTTCTCTGTCTCTCAGTGTCTCTCAGAAATAAATAAATGTTAAAAATTTTAGAAAAAAATAGCTTACAAGTAAAACAATCCAAATGCCCCTCAACTAATGAATGAAAAAACAAAATGTGGCATATCCATACAGTTGAATGAATGTTATTTAGCCATAAACAGAAATGAAGTATTGATAGATGGCATAGCATGCAAAGTGAAAGAAACCAGATACAAGACCATATACTGTATGATTCCATTTATATGAAATTTCCAGAATAGGTAAATCTGTTTAAATCTACTTAAAGTAGATTGGTGGTTTCCTAAGGCTGGGGCAGTTGAGAGGAAAGGAGAGCTAATGGGAACAGAGTTTCATTCTGGAGTGATGAAATGTTCTAAAGTGTGTTGTGATGGCTGCCAACTCTGTGAGTATCCTAAAACCATTGGAGTATTAATGGGTGAGTTATATCTTAAAGGGGTGAATTATATCTCAATAAATTTTTCATTTAAAAAATGTCCAGGGGCGCCTGGGTGGCGCAGTCGGTTAAGCGTCCGACTTCAGCCAGGTCACGATCTCGCGGTCCGTGAGTTCGAGCCCCGCGTCGGGCTCTGGGCTGATGGCTCGGAGCCTGGAGCCTGTTTCCGATTCTGTGTCTCCCTCTCTCTCTGCCCCTCCCCCGTTCATGCTCTGTCTCTCTCTGTCCCAAAAATAAATAAACGTTGAAAAAAAAAAAATTTTTTTTTAAATGTCCACAGTAGAGGATTGGGCAAAATGGGTGAAGGGGAGTGGGAGATACAGGCTTCTGATTATGGAATGTGTAAGTCATGGGAATAAAAGGCATGACATTAGAAAAGTCCTAAAAATATTTTAGTCAGTTAATAAAATACAGTTTATGAGCATTAAAGTAGTCATGAAAATCAAATGTTTATTTATATTGAAGATACGTAAGAAATGTTTATGTCTTTCTAGCACATATTGCCATTAATATTTATTTTCTCTTAATTCTTATGAGCCTCCCAGTGGTAAGAGAAACAATAGCCATTCTACCAGTGATAGTATATGTTAATAGGTTATTATACACTGCCTATGAATATAACTAGAGCATTAACATTCTCATTTGAATAGGTAAAATTCTTAGGAAGTTAGGATGGTCATATATCCTTTCAGAACTTTATAATCTATTCTTTAACCTCTATAAACAAGCAGACCGTAACAGCCTACTGGACTAATTGGATGGGATATATCTGCTATTGAGTTCAAAGAGCAAGAGATCTTTCGGAAGACTAAAGAGAGTGGAAGTTGCTGCCTCCTTCCCCTCTTAGCCATATTCTTTGATACTCATTTCAGTTCCCGTTATTTTCACTGGAAAATGAACCTGTGCGTAATCCTTCTGATCCTGGTGTTCATGGTGCCTTTTTACATTGGCTATTTTATTGTGAGCAACATCCGACTATGTGAGTATTTGTAAACGTGAGTATTTTACCTGCTCATGTCAGCACGTTGATTGAGACAAGGATTCGTGGGGACTGAGGCTGTGGAGAGTTTCATTTCTGTATTACTCTCAGTAACTACTGTTGTTTGGGGGTGCCCCACACCAGCATCTTTAAAAAGTAGGCATAAAATCAATGTTGAATGAATAATTAAGCCACCTGTGTGGCCACAACTATCTTTCTGTTTCTACTGTTCTGTCTCCCCTAACCCACATCTTAATTCAGCCAAATTCCTCTTGCGACGATAAATACGCTTTCTCTAAAAATGGTATTATTCCATCATTCCTTTGCCAAGTGGACAAGCCAGTCAAATCGTAGTTAGCATGATTCCATATCTGGAAGTAGAGCAAGCTCTCTAATGTGGATCCATTTAACCTTAGTCTTTCTCGTCCTTCTTAGTGCATAGGCAGCGACTGCTCTTCTCCTGTCTCCTGTGGTTGACCTTCATGTACTTCTTCTGGAAACTAGGAGACCCATTTCCCATTCTCAGCCCGAAACATGGTGAGTGAATATGTGACAGGGAGAGGGAAATAATTGTTTACCATTTTCTCATTTTGAAAAACAATAACTTTTTTAAAAGTTCTGGGGCGCCTGGGTGGCTCAGTCGGTTAAGCGTCCAACTTTGGCTCAGGTCATGATCTCACGGTCCGTGAGTTCGAGCCCCGCGTCAGGCTCTGTGCTGACAGCTCAGAGCCTGGAGCCTGCTTCAGATTCTGTGTCTCCCTCTCTCTCTGACCCTCCCCCGTTTATGCTCTGTCTCTCTCTGTCTCAAAAATAAATAAACATTAAAAAAAA